TTTAATACTTCTTGAATAATTCAATATTCTGCCCATAGTATCTCTAAGCATTGTGCTCATGGCTTGAATTTATTCTTAGTTTCTTCAGCTTAAGAAATGCTGAGTGAGATCTGTCCTTTTAATTTTCTCACTCCAGCTCCTTGCACACTTTATTTTAATACTTTACCTTGTCTTTCTGAGCTACCCTTCTAAATCTTCTATTCGGCTCCTTAATTTCTTGATTTCTTCCCTTTGCTTTTGCTTTTGATGCTCTAGTGCACTATTCAGAGTCTCTTCTGACAATCATTTTGGTCTTTTCTTCTTCTTCTTCCTTCTTTGTAATGATTGTTTGCATTCCTCATGAATGATAGTCTTGAAAGCCTTCCACAGCTCATCATAGATAGGTGTATTTATTACTGCATTCTCATTTCTGTTCTACTGGTCTATGTGTCTCTCATTGTATACATACCATGCTGCTTTGATTATTACAGCTGTATAGGAGCTTTTTGAGATGCATATAATTTTATTTTTGTTTTATAGAAATGCTTTGCTTAGTCAGTGTCTCTTTCCTTTCCAAAGAAACTTTCCTATTTCCTTTTCTTATTTGGGTAGATACCTGAGTAGAAATACAATAGAGCATATTTAGAGTGGACTAGTAGATATGACACCCGAGTCCTCAGCCCTCATATTGGCAAACACAAAAAAAGGAGGAGGAACTATTGTAAGCAAGTACTAATGACTGGAATTGTTATATAAGAAATATGAATCTAGCAAAATTGGACATTGTTAAAAAACAAATTGTTATTGTTTTTTGCTGTTGAGTCACTTGTGACTCATAGCAACCCTATGTACAACAGCCCTAAACCCTGCTCTATCCTGTGCCAACATTATTGTCTCTGATACACCTCCCCCATTGTCCCAGTGACTGAGTCAATCCATCTCATCGAGGGTCTTTTTATCTTATGCTGTCCCACCATGCTCCCCAGCATAATGTTCCTCTCCGAGGAGCAATCCCTCATTGTAACATGTACAAAGTATGTCAGACAAAGCTTCAGAATCCTTGACTCCAGGGAGTAGCCTGGTCTAACCTCCTCCAGGATGAAACTGTTCTCCTAGCAGTCCATGGTATATTCAATTTTCCAGCACCACAGCTCAGAGGCATCAATTATCTATTACTCCTATTCAGGGTACAATGATGGTTCAGTGGTACAATTCTCAACTTCCATGAGGAAACTGCAGTTTAGTATTTGGCTGTGCATCTCAAGCACAGCCATCACTTACATGTCGCTTGCTATCATGCTGAGCAGTTTGCAGTGCCATTTCCAAACTAAGATCAACTAGGAAAAGCCTTGGAATATAATTAGGAAAAATTGTTATTATTATTTGATTTGGAGTTGGAACCAAATCATAGTTCAATCTCCAGTAGGTTTTCAAAGACTATACATCACACAGGAAGAAACTGTCCATTTTTTTCCCATGGAGCAGTTGGTAAATTCAAACTGCTTGCCTTTAGTTCGGCAGCATCAAATGGTTAAATCCTTCTGTGTGTGTCACTGTGACTCAGGGCCAACTCTGCAGGATCAATTTAATACTATTTTTATATCTCTAATTATTTTTGTAACAAATAAATATGTGTGTGTGTGTGTGTGTGTGTGTTTTCTTCTCAAAGAATATTTGGCATCAAATTTCTAATATGACTACCTACTTGGAAAGCAATGAAATTGGCTGTATATATAGAAAGGACTTTTTCTTTATATCTATTTCTGAACTGTTTTGATATTTTTATAATGAATGTTTATTGCATATCATGTTTAAAATGCAAACAAAGATAATTTTTTTCCCAAACTCTTAGCCTACATGATAGTGTTATGTACTGTTCCTTAACTTGGCATCTGTCTTCAAGAAGTTCACAAGCCAGCATTCTCTTTGAAAATCCTTAGAGAGACTAAAATGCCCACTCATCTTTTCTCACATTTTCTGTAATTATTTTTTAAAATCTTACCAGAGTAAGAAGATAAATAGATCTGTTTATGATTTTCTTGGCATAAAAACATAGTTAAAAAGCAAATAAAGACAAAGGACACACATTCAACAAAAGAGATCTTGTGTTAGTTTTTTAATCTATATATAAAATCTACATATAAGAGATAATATAAATATATTTATAGACATAAAATCTGAAAACATTGTGACTAAAGTCAGTAATGCTATTAAAAAACTGAAGTCATTCATTCTTCAGAATGAAGTAAGTAGTTTTGAGAACCCATGAATGTAGGTAGCATCACCGGGTGCTTGAATAGCCAGCACACACACTTATCAAAGACAATGGCCAAGAATAAATGAAGAGGGTAGAAGCCCAGGAATGTGTTTCAGATAGCAAGCCAAAAAGCTTTAAGACTAAAAGCTAAGCCAAGCCAGTCACTACAAATCGTAAGATAAACATTATGCATGATGAAAAAGTCAACAGAGTAAATAAAGCCTTTAGAGATATACAAAATGAATTTGCACATTTCTCAAAAGACCTTTCCCTTGAACGTCTGCACAAACAATTGGTTTATCACCAGCAGCATGAAAAAGAACCAGTGAATGTTGATAAGGCCAAATAACTAAAGGAGCATTTGTGGCCTCTTGGCAAGAAGCTGTGCTGCAATCCCAAAGGCAGGTAGTTTGAATCCCATCAGCTGCTCCATGGAAGAAAGATGGCAATCTCCTCTCATGTAATTAATTGCCTCTGAAAACGCACTGGAGGGTCAGCTATGGGTCACTTCTGACTTGACAGTACATAACAACAACAACACAACTAATAGTTCTGTTATAATAACCATGATGATGATGTATTGGACTTTTGTACCTCGTCCTCAGAAAAGATGAATAAAAGTAATGTTAGCTGCATGTGGCCTCTGGCTTCTTGGGGAGAGGCAGGTAAGGAAGACTCCAGGTGCTTGTGGCTTTCTCTATGCCTCACTGAGGGTCCACAGAGCTGACTTGCCAGATGAACTATGGGTCTCTGGCCCAGAGTTGGCCAGCATTTGGGCATGCCGGAATGGTAAAATACTGAAGGACCCTCAGGCCTGTTTTTCATTGTTTTTGTTCAAACAGTCTTCTAGGTCGTATAGCTCTGGTGTGTTCACTTGCTGCACAGGGGTAACTTGTGGTCTCTGTGAAGCTGAACACTATGACACTGATGTGTCAAATGCATTAACGGTTACCCATGGTGGACAGTGTTTGGTGGAGCTCCCCGGTTGAAACAAGCTTGGAAGCAGGAGTGGCATCCACTTCTGTAAACAGCTTGCCTCCAGAAAACCTATGAACCTGGAAAAAGGATGGAAGTCACACACGCAAGTGTTGAGGACTTTTGTTCTTAGGGTTGCTATGAGTCGCCTACACTTCAACGGCACTTAACAACAACAACAACAACAACATCAAGAAAACAAATATTCTCACCTCTGGGCTGATTGGCAGCACCATGATGGATGGTGAAGAGGTTGAGATGGTCAACAGCTTCAGTTTGCTTGGCTTTACAATCAACACTCTTGGTACCAGCAGCCAATAAATTAAAAGACAAATTGCATTGGGAAAGTCTGCTGTCAGATACCTCTCCAAAGTACTGAAGAGCAATGATGTCAGTCTGGAGACTACAGTGTGCCTGATACAGATCATAGTCTTTACAATTACTTGCTCTGTATTAGAAAGTTGGACAAGGACTAGAGATGAAAGAAGGAGAATTGATGCCTTTGAGCTGTGGTGCTGGAGAAGAGTATTGAATATACCATGGACTGCTAGGAGAACAAATGAGTTCATCCTGGAGAAGCCAGGCTGCTCCTTGGAGGCAAGGATTCTGAAGCTTTGTCTGACGTACTTTGGACGTGTTGCAAGGTGGATCAGTCCTCGGAGAGGGGCATCATGCTTGGCAAGGTGGAGAGACAGCATAAGGAGAGTAAGACCCTTGATGAGATGGGTTGATTCAGTGACTGGAGTAATGGTGATAGGTGTATCAGAGACAATAAGATTGGCACAGGATAGAACAGAGTTTAGGGCTGTTGTACATAGGCTTGCTATGAGTCACAAGTGACTCGACGGCACATAACAACGATAAAAAAGAAAAAAGAATGAAGTAAGCATTTGCCATAAAATAAAATGTGATAACATTTGGAAGGCAATGAAAATGAAAAACCAAGCAATATACTTATTGTTAATGAGGGACTTCAGCAAATACACATACATGCATCTGAGATGAAATTCAGGGCCTGTGTGTTTACAGTGCACCTAAAGACTGTGGTATGGATTAAATTGTGTTTCCTGAAACTGTGTGCTGTAAATATTAGCCTGTGATTATAATCCTATTTGAGAGTGGATTCTCTGTATTATTCATGGGAAAGATTAGTAGAGATTATATTTTGAGTCTATTTATTCAAGACAGAAGCTGAGAGGTTGCTGTGAGTTGTACTCAACTCAATGGCAACTAACAACAACAACAAACAACAGAAGCTGAGAAGGGGAAAGAGATATAACACATGAAAATCACCCAGAAAGAGAAGCTCCAAGAGACAAAGATTTTCTTCCAGAAACAGAAGGAAACTCTAGAGCCCTGAATTTGGACTTCTAATTGCCTAAACTGTGAGAGGTCTGGTGGCCTAGTGAGTAGGGAGTTACACTGACAACTCAAAGGCAGGTAGTTCAAATCCACTAGCTATTCCACAGGAAAAAGATGGGCTATCTCCTCCCATGCAATTTACAGCCTCCGAAAATCCACTGTAGGGTCTACCATGACTTAGTTTCAACTCTATAGCAATGAGTTGAATGATTGTGAATCTGTGAGAAAATACATTTCTGTTTTCAAACCACTTATTTGTGGTGTTTCTGTTATATCAGCAATAGGTAACCAATAGGTGGACTGAGCATTTCTTTCTCTCCTGGGAGGCTTGGTGATTCAGGAAGAAACATAAAACCAAAAGCAAAGAGAGGTTATTAAAAAATTATTTCCTGTTACATTGCAGGACTCAAGGAGTGAGTAAACATACCGATTAGTTGCATGGTCGGTTCCACATCTGTTGTGGCCTCTTCCAACAATGACAGCAGCTTGGCTGAGATCTGATGCACGGATTCAATGTTGCTAAACAAGCTATCCACGTCTAGTCTTTCAATCTGAAGAAACACAAACACAGCACCAGCTGACAAGGGGAACACTCTGGATTGGGAAGGCTTTGCTCCTTCTAAACAGCACTTTACATGCCCACCCAGGCTGCCTTTGCCATTTCGGTAAACATTTTAATTTAAAATTTCTTCAGTAAATATGTACTGTTTATACTCAAGAAACTAGAATGTCCCATCTGTTATCTCTTTATTTTGAATGAATTTAAATATTTGAGTGCACATCTGTACATTGTGCCCAGAAATGCAGACTGGGGAGATATGAACAACCTAATAAATATTTTTATTAACTTCTCTCGATGAAGATATATGGAGTTCTTGGGTTAAGTGCACTATCAGCAATAGGTAACCAATAGGTGGACTGAGCATTTCTATCTCTCCTGGGAGGCTTGGTGATTCAGGAAGAAACATAAAACCAAAAGCAAAGAGAGAAAGCGCCATACTGCTTTCCACAGGGGTTGCACCATTTTACACTCCCACCAACAGTGAATCAGGGTTCCAGGTTCTCCACAACCTCGCCAGCATTTGTTGCTTGCTGTTCTGTTAAATTTTGCTATTTTGACTGGGGTGAGATGATATCTCATAGT